GTGACTATCATTTGTAAATCTTCTATATTTTAATCTTCTAACATTTATAATTTATTCCACAACAGTTGCACATTAAGACGCTTCTTTCCTCACTTTTTTTTAAATTCGAGGTCGCTTTATTAATGTGACAAACATATATTATCTTGAAGACCTTATTGAGCAAACCATTGCTATTTTCTATGCTAACTTTAGGCTACACTTTCCCTAAACCACCCTCACATCATCATTTTAATGAAACATTTCTTTTAACTAAGCCTTTTGAATTGGGAAAATAACTAGGTTTCAGATTTTCCTTCATTGTGTGGGCATTTCAGTTATTTTGAACATTAAAATATTGTAGGCTATTATAAAATATTCCTGAGCATTATGTGCACAGTGCAGGTTACTGTCGGCCTGAGGTTTTTGTCACACGGTCATACTTTTCTTATGATAAGACCATCATGCAGTAAGATTTGTGGGTTTAAAAAAAAAAAAAAAAAAAAAAAAAACTGAAAATCTCTGCTCTGACCTGCCAAGTTGGGAAAGGGCATGAGGTTGAGGAGTGTTTCTGTTTTCAGTTAATTTTGCCTTGCTTTGGTCGTCAATTTGAACTGGCCTGTTTCTTTAGATTATGTTCTCTCAGTCTGTATGAATTTTCTTAGTGGTCACAATGGTTTGTTCAATATTCTGTAATCTTTCTTATAGTGAGCATTCCAATTTGACCTGTTTAGTTCTGTTTGACGTCTTAAATATTTATCTTTTTTTTAGGCCTATACATTTTGTATCATGGCTTCACATCATTTTTCATGCTTCTTTTTTAATCTTGGTGTTGACCAATTAAATAGTCGGCTATAATTGACAAAATCTATAGTTAATGTGTTTTGCCTTTGTAACCAATAGACATCACATCCATAGACCTATATATTTTATTTCTTTACTATAGGATTCCAAACTGCTTTCGAACAGGAGGCATTTCACATTGATGAAATTGTTTTCTCTGACTCTGATTTTTCTTGTATTTATTGTTAGTTCGTTCAGTTGTCATATAAGTTGTATGTTCTTGTTTCTAATATTCTGTTGGCAGTCAAATTGACACCTGCATTATTGTAGAAAAAAAAAATGTGGTTAAGTGTAGCTTCCTCTTTGTCCCTGTAGGGGGCAGTATTGTACAAACATAGTGCCCCAAGCCAAAATAAATATATTTATTTAGGGATCAGAGTAATTGATGATTTGCAAGCTTATATCTATTTAAATGTATTTTTATATATGAAGATCAGTTACCCTATCTGTATTTTGATTATTAAAGAATAAAGACGATGGGAGGTCATGTGACAGGCATGCAGGAGCATGTATGGTTTCTGCAGAAAACATAAGCATTATTCTTTAGAGGTGTGGTGTGTTAAAACTAACCGACGATTTCTAGTCTCCACAGTGTCTCATTATTCACTGTAAATGAAATGTAAACTGCTGTTGTTACAAAAATGCAGTGGAGGAGGAAGAAGCCTATACCTACTGAATCTCAGTAGGCCTAAGTAGCCTAAAAGTACAATTAACCAGAGAAATGACTTACTTAAAAGTAGTACAATGACAACCATTTCTTAAAAGTACCACAATGACAACCATACTTAAGTAAAAAGTAATTTTAAATGTACTTAAAGTGTTAAAGTAAAATTACTTGCATAACAGTTTCTTCTCTTAATGTCTATATTCTAATGAATAACATTTAATTCTTACTCATTCAACCTAATACTCCTATAATGATGTTTAATAATGATGGAACAATTTTCACCATTTCTGAACAAGCTTGCAATTAGGCAATATACACATCAAGCTTCAATATAGACATCAATCAAATACATGTTAAGATATAGGCTACTGAATATGTTTGGCTGTGCGTTTAATTATGGCGTAATTCTTTCTTAACCTCGTGGCTTGCCATAATCCTTACCAAACGTAGGCTATTACACACGCACCCCAACAATATTAACCAACTGCTTTCCCATGCAAGTAAAACTAATTTTCGCGGATAAATTGCACGATAAACACACTGGGTGCATTGCGAGACGCATTAAGTGTGACTGAAACTGACAGTTACTGTTGAGACAAACGTGCAACGAACGGACGGTCAGGATTAGCTACATTTTGGCAGGGGAAAACTGATCAGAAAATGTAATAAAAATGTTACAGAACGTTGTAGAAATGTAGTGGAGTAGAAAGTATAATAATTGCTGAAAAATGTAACAAAGTAAAAGTAAAAAGTATGCACTATTGATTAAGTAACGTACCGAATCACGAAGTAGCCTAGCTTTCTTCGTTGCATTCAACCCGATTCCACCACTGCATAAATGTGAGCAACGTACGGCCTTCTTTATATGCTGTTGTTTTAATCTGATAAACTGTCAGAAGCTATTTAGAATTAGTTTAGTTAGTTTTAAATCGGGATACAGACAGAGGAAATGTGGTCAGGAAAAAAAGGAACTGCATTATTGTCTGTCAGTGAGATAAACTTCAACTTTCTACTCATTATGTTCCTGTGTTGAACAGAACTTGTGTCCCTGTTTTTGAGGAAGTTCACTGTACAGTGCTTCAGTAAGCTTTTTATTGTTAAATCAGTTATTCAACATTTGCAGGGTAAGCTACTTGGAGTGAGCTAGCAGTTTCTAGATTTGCAGATACCCTCGTACGAATTCCCGTGAGATCGGGTTGGTTATTCTGAAGTTGCATTATAATATTACTATGGTTTTTATGTACTGTAATAACTATATATTATAATATATTATCATTAATCGTTAACAGTGTGTAGGCCTTTATGTATACAGCTTCACTACATTGAAGCTACTCACCTGTAGCAATGTCAAGCTACACAGGAATATGGCAAAGTTAATACATCTAAGCTCTTTTTTTTTTTTTTTTAAAAAAAAAAAATTATATTGAACCAACTTCATTCCAAGTCAGTTTATCTCTGTGGTAAATAAAACTTTCAGTCAAACAGATAGTCAGGCATAATTTGTCAGTTCAATTATTTATTTTAACACTGTTCCAAACCAATTTGGCATAAAAAAAAATCATACGTCGTCATACAATGAATTACATTAAGCATCTTTAATTCATTGTGTACCACTTTTTTATGGTAAAAGTGGTACCGCCACTCAATGGTTTCCTAAACTGTAAAAGAACAATTGTTTTACTCGAGGTGGAAAATGAGATTAATTCCCCAAATGGTGGAATATCCCTGTAACGTATGCTTATCGTTAGCCGGGTGCTCTTCCCTGACTTCTTATGATACAGTGCATGTGTAAGATACAAACTTCATGGTTAGGTTTAGGGTTAACCTCCCTACACACACACACACACACACACACACACAAAAGTCCATGCACACATGAGGTTAAACTGTCAACTGCTTTTCTTGTGCAAATTATTTTGTTCTGATGACCAATTTCCCAGCAGCACAGAGTTTTATATTTTATTATCTTAAGTTGTTGATGTTCCTTTTTTTTTTTATAATTTTGTATTACATTTATAAATACATTTTAAGTTCTTAATGTTCTTTTTCTAAATAAAACCTTTATATTTAATTTGGATGGATATATTTGAGTGAAAAGAATCCTTTAGCCATCATTTTGTTGTCTATTACATGTATATGTAGTCGTTTAATAGCCGTCTAATTGATGACTAGTCTATGGGCTATGGTTAGAAGTCTATTAGATTTTCACTGACAGCCGAAATTTTGCCTTGTTTTAGCCTAGACATCTGGGCTGTTAGACGTTGACGGCTATCAGACGTCTTTTAGACGCAAAATTGCTTGCTGGGACTAAACTAGCGTCTTGTAGCGACGCTTCTGCCCAACACTGAACATTTGAAGGAAACTTGATGTGTTTTGCATATTCCTGCTTACAGGGAATTGCTAGACATGTCAAAGCAGATCTTCGGGTTTAATGTGTGTTTCTTTGGGAAAACCAATGATTCAGCTGAATGGGTGGCTCCAATGATATTACAGAACTGACAAGTTTAGGGCTAAAGCTGTCAAGACTTGTTAAACAACTCGATCAAACGAGGACTATAGTAACTTGAACACTTTTTTGTTCAAAAACTATGCACATTAAAATGACTTTTACAATATGCTCAAAACTGATCTTGTTCTAGATTAAAAGAGTAGGCCTACAGTGAGATGCACAATTATGGTTTTATTATAGTAAAAGTGTAGGCTATACCATGTTTTTTTGGGGAAAATTGATTACCAATTGTATAACCACATTAATAGTGGGCTAATTAGTACACTGTAAAAAAAATATTGATGGTTTAACTTAAAAAGTAAGTAACCTGGTTGCCTTAAAATTTAAAGTTCATTGAACTGGAAAAAGTGAGTTAATACAATGAAGGAGAATGATTTAATCATCAGAAACTCACAAGTGTTATCTGAACTAAATAAATTATTTAAGTTGATTTGACAAAAGAAAAAATGTTGTGATTACTACACTGTAAAAAAATGTGTTGGTTTAACTTAAAAAAGTAAGGGTTGCCTTAAAATTTTAAGTTCATTGAACTGGAAAAAGTGAGTTAATACAATGAAGGAGATTAATTTAATCATCAGAAACTCAAAATAATAAGTTATCTCAACTAAATAAATTATTCTAAAGTTGATTTGACAAAAGAAAATATGTTGTGATAACAAATCTTGAAAATATTTTTTTACAGTGAATTAGTATAGGCTAAAAGACAAAAGGTGATTAAACATGAAGGAAAAAATATAAAGACATTATTACCCATATAGCCTACATCCAAAAATTTAGCTAAAAAGTCCATGAACACATTTTGAAGCATTTTGGCATTAGGCTGCATTAAAATAAAATGTGCAAAAAAGAAAGGTTATCATGATAATTTGTCAGTATAATGTATTTGTTATCTTTGTTCCCTGATTTATCAAATTTTAGCTCTGTAAAGTAAACACTAGCTCTTAGAGGGGCGGACCATCAAAACCATAACAGTGCTGGTTATCTTATCTCCGCCTTAACGGAGAGCTTTTCCATAGAAGGAGACAGACTTGATGCGTAGTGCATCCATACCACAGACAGGCGACACGCCGCCGCTGACAGATCCCCCTCGCCCGCGGGCTGCTGCGTATCACTCTGTGGAGAGCAATACCCGAGCTTTTATTAAAAATGCCGATATTTAAGACTCCGGGGATTTATTGACTTACGAGAAACAGCAAGGGTAATCGATCTCTGGTTCTCTGCTCTTTTTGGCAGCTTTTTCAAGTGCATGTCCATTCCAAGAGAAGGTGCGACCGAGTCTTTCTATTAGCTATTATAAAAAATAAAAAATAAAAACACGCGAGTTTTCATCTTTATCCAGATCGTGCACGGCGCCATCCGACTTTGGAAAGAGAGGAGGGTGGAGAAGAAACACTTCCATACACGGTGAGAAAGGTGGAGGTTTGTTGTCAGCTGATTGTAATTCTCCACTCATGAAGGGCATGGAGATGTTGCGCCGCTCCTCAGTGTTCGCGGCTGAAGTCATGGAGGTGTTTGATCGTTCTCCCACGGATAAGGAGTTAGTGTCTCAGTCTAAAGTGTTGTGCAGGGAATACATTCACTCCAGACTCCATCGGGCTGGAATCGGATGGTCGAAACCAGAGCACGGATCCGGAACACTGGCTGAGGTGTCTTCAGTCCTGCTGTGGTTGGGTAGGACATCTGACGTTTCACTCACAGGTTGCCATTGGGTTACATGTAGCCTAGTACTGTGTAGTGCCTAGATATTTGGATGCTATATACACCCCTTACGAAAATTAACCATGGTTTTACTAAAAATAAAAGCAAACAAAAAAAAAAAAGGTTATTGTAGGCTAGTTAAACCATCTACACAAATTAACCATGGTTTTGCTACACTAAATCACGGTAGGTTATTTGTTGTAAAACTGTGGTTAAACAAATGGTAATCAATCTACCAAAAAACATGGTTACTACACTTTTACTAAAACCATGGTTCATATTCGTAAAGGATATGCCTACATGTATACTGTGTGAAAATATTATGGTGCTAAATGGTCATGTGTGGATAACTAACTAGGTTCTGGTTTAATGTAGCCTACAGATGTTATATTTTAAGACTGAGTTAAAAGTGCTGAGTACTTCCTGTTAATTTTCATTCTTTCTTAATCTGTGCTTACTCTGGTTCATAAGAAAATAAATGAAAAATGGACCATCATCCATAATTGTTCTATGAACTTTCAGAAATGAAAATAAACACGTGTTTCTCAGCTTCCTTAAAGGCAAACCACTGATTGCGTAATATTTTACAACACTCTTACAAGGTTCATCTGTGTCTCACCCATTGAAAAGTACTTTGCCTTTTGTACCATGTTAAATGTGTTTCATCCTTTTATGTTGTTGGACATTCTGAGCTCTTTCACAAGATTGAATGTTATGCCTATCAAAACATGTAATCTCACATCATTTTGTTGATCAGACACACTATAAGTAACCTACCTTATAAACATATACTCTTAACTGTCATTGTTCTGCAAGAACCCGCTTTCTCCTAAAAGGGAAAAGCACAGGAATTTTAATTTGAGACAACTGTGTAACTGGGGGAACTGCTTTTTATGGACAAGGCATGCAAACATGCAGATCATTATCACAAGGCAGATTGAGGGTTCCCCACCCAGTCCTTCACACTTACATTAAGACGGATTATTCATGTGGGATAAACACATATTCTCTTCCAAATAAAAGTTGCAAAAGGGGGTTTTCACAGCGATTCCCTATAGAAGAACCACTTTTTCTTAGCATGAAGAAAAATCCAAAGAACATTTTCCCACAATTTGTGGAATTGAAAATTTCCATTGATGTTCTTCAAGGAACCAGCAATGCCAATAAAGAGTGCAGCTGAGCATAGCTAAAGACTTAATTAACAGAGAATTTCATCATCTGCTTATATGACAAAATGACAATAGTATGAAAAATAGCAGGTGTTAAGTTTATGTTCCAAATTAGTGATTTTATTCTGTAAGACTCAAGACCCTTTCTTCCCAATAGTTTGAGCCAAGGAAAGATAACACATTTGTCTCTCTGTCTCCTAGGAGACGAGCTGGAGTACCTGCGACCCAACGTATACCGCAACGTAGCACGGCAGCTCAACATCACAATCGCCTCTGAGAATATAGTCTCTGATGCCTTTTTGGCCGTCGCTGCAGAAATCTTCTCTACAGGTTGGTCAGTGTCCATCTTGCTTGATACATTTAGTTTGGAAAACAGTTTGTCTGTAGATAAAACTAATCGTTGCATCCAGAGATGTTGTTTTACATTAGCAAATACTCTTGGTTTATATGATATGCCTATGTTTTGTTTTTTATATTATCTATATCGATTTTACAAAAGTGTATATTTTTTCAGACCCTTAAATCGATAGTTCACCCCAAAATCAAAACAACAACAAACCAAAAATTGAGACGTTTCATCTTTTATGTTTTCATTGTTGTTGAGGGTGAGTAAATGATGACATGTTTTTAAAAAGATTTTTGGGTGAACTATCCCTTTAAGTGACTTTACACTCCTTTTAGTGAGGTTAAACTGGATCCATTCTGACATTTATATATACACAGAGAAGCGGTGAATGGGTCTCGACCCTGAAAGCACCATAAAATGTGGATTTTTCTTTAAAGTAAACAGTGTCTGGGCACCATGGAAGTTATCATTCCATTTGCTGCGTACTGTACTTTGCTCATATGTAGTGCAAACCCATTTAGTTGACTCAACCATTTAGTTCAAATGGTCAACCCTTTTTTGATCTCCCAGATTTGGAGTGTAGTAAATCATGGTCTTTTTTTTTTTTCAACATTGGCAGCTTTAACATGTGGTAACTTGTTCGCCTCATTTCTCCAGGGAAACATTCTTTGCATTCTAATTATTAAAGCGTAATTGCTTGTGTTAGTCCAAGTCAAAGGTTCCTCACTGAACACAAAGCACCTCTTGTTTTTTTTTTACATATAGCTGTCCTCTAGCAGTGTAGCTGTGTTTGAGTGGTCATTGGTGTTCACTTTTTTTTTAAACCCGCGTGTGTCCTTCGATCCTTTTTTTAGAGTTCTATATGACTGTGCACTTCAAACAATTGTTGAGTTTATATATATATATATATATATATATATTAAAATATACATTTTTAATCATACAAATAAAATGTCATTTTTTTTTGTTTACTTCTCATCTATTCATTAATGCTGTGTTTTTGGAGATATAAAGTACTTCTGTATCCATATACCACACAATTCCTCAACTACACCATTAGCTTGCATTTGAAATATTATTTTTTTTATGACACATTGCATTTATGCTCTAGTACTAGGCCTTCATTTCTGTGTAAAAATTTTCAGATTTATGCTGGATTTTTTATTCTTTTTTGACACTTGAAGAAAATATATTTTTTTTTTTTTCACATTTCCCATTAATTTCAATGTGGGGTCATATTGACCCCGAAGACCAGAAGTGTAAACCCTAACCCTAACCTTCAGAACAACCAAATCAAGCCCAGTTTTCTTGTGTGTGTAGATAGATAATGTATGAAAAGTCACTAAATCTTATTCCACTGAGATGAAGGGAAACTTTTTTTTTTTATTAAGTAAAAGTCGATGACCCGATTGAGGGTTAAGATATGAATGTAGTATTTTCACACGAGCTTCATATATTTGAATATAATTGCTGTTCAGTGTTTTATATTAACCTTTGCTTTTGTTTTATTCTTGAGGCATTTCAATCATTTCTGCTTTTTCAATTATTTAGCTTTGCTGTGACACAGACTGTTTAATGCAAACAGTGGAGCAATTTCCAAAATAATATTTTAATTAAACAATATGATGCATAAAATGATGTTATACATAGCATTTAAAAAAAAATGTTTCTTTTGTGGTTTTCATAATTCCTGCTGGAGAAGTGTTTTTTTTGTGTGTGTATTAAAATCTACTTAAATAAATAAATAAAAAAATCTAAATAAAATAGGAGACCAATAACTGATTTTGTCAGGAGGAACCATTTTAGCAGATCTTTTATCCTCAACTTAATCAAAATCAATAAATCCATTAACAAGATTAGGTTCCTTGAAGAAGGCCTTCATTTTTTTTCCAGAATAGAAAGTGCTAACTATAAGGTGTATGAGCAGATTTGTGTCACGTTTTGAGTTTGTTTTTTGATCTGTTTCTCTGTTCTGTTGATATTTGTGTTTCTTTGTTAATCTTCTAAGTTTCTGTTAGTCCTCCGTCTTGCATGAGTTTTTATGTGGTTTATTGTTTTGAATTTGTGGATTAAAGACTATTTCAGTATTTACATCGTCTTGTGCTTTCATCTCAGCCACCAATTTTTTCAATTTTTTCGAGAGTGGGATTGTTGATTCATTTCTTCATTCAAAGATATTTCAGTTGTTTTCTTAAATGGGGTCAGAGGTCAGGGTGGTGATTGTTAGAATCTGTAACGCCTACAGAATTCCTTACTTACATAGTCACAACATAGATGCAAGTTTCTAATTAAACGTGGGAAAATCCAGTTTAGTCTTTTTTTGGCAGTGATAGTCACAGATACTACACAGACAGATGGTTGTATCATTGTGCAAAAGGAAGGTAAATTATCAGTACTATCAGTATTTCGAGTGTTGGTTTGCATGTATATCAGGAATAATTGACTTTGAGTTATTTTTTCAATTATCAATTATCAATTATTCTGCTTATGCTATGGTTACCACGCTTCAAAACATTGTTCAGATCATGTATTTCAAGATATTTGTCAGATAGATTCAGATAGATTTAAGATATTTATGTCAGATAGATATCAGATAGATTCAAGATATTTTTAAGTCCTTAAAACGTTAATTTCTTACGCATCTAATCCCAATTAATTCTAATTAATTCCGTCATTTTAGGCTTGAGCCATTGATAGCAGACTAATGCAGTATCATGTAGCTTTTAAGTTGTTAAACTTTTGACAAAATCATCAGAACAACGCTGACAAAACACGCATGTGTGTCCGTACTGTATGTGTGTGCATTTGAGTGGGATATACGTGCTTTCCGTATTTTGTGGTAAAAAAACATGGACATATAATTAGTAATTTTTATCCTATTGTTTACTATATTAATTTGCTTTGTTAGGGTCGTTGTAGGTTATGGTTCTTTTGTTGTTGTAGTAGGCCTATGTAATGAACTTTGAAATAACTGAACTCATTTGGCAAAGTGATATGGACATGTAATGGGGTCAAGACCTGCCTGGAACTACTTTAGCCTTGCGTTTCACTGAAAATAATTGCACACCTTAGAACGTTCGTCAACCAATCAGATTCAAGCATTCAACAGCCCTGAAGTATAAATTTAATTAATACATGTCTTCATTTGAAACTGCATGTTGTAAACTAAAATATTCTGTTGGAATTGTGAACTCAGAGGGAGGAAATTGTGGTGTTTTCTGTTTATCTTGAACTTCAAACCAGCTTTTATCTCTTTTATTCCTCAATATGGTTTCCTTTTGCCTTTGTGTTTCCTGCCTTTTGCTAGACTCAGATTAGGTTCCTGCCTGGGTTGATATGTTTATGTCTGGCCATTTGATGTTCCCAGGCAGGGTTTTGCAGCTTTATTAGCCTATGTTTTGTTTAATTCCAGGCTGAAATGTTTGAAGGTTAGAGTAACGTCTGTTTATCATTTTAGTTATCAGGATGCCTACTTCTGTGATGAAATGTAATAATACGGATATAGCCTTTTATTTAAATTCAGACTCGTGACCATAACATATTTACTGTGTGATTGGGAAAAGCAAATATACTGTAGGCCTATCCTTTAAACTACTATTGTATTTCATGGTCTCTTTATATATTTAAAAATATACAATTTATCAAGCTTGCAAATGAGGCTAACGGCTTATAGCCACACATGTTGATATCATATTTATAGGTTATAGTCACAAGTGAAACAAATGAATTTGCTCTGCTAAAAAAAAAAGTCCTTGTGTCTTTCTGTCTGATACACCAGCTGACAGCTTGCCTGGCTCCCAATACAGTATATTCATGTTCTGTTAGAAATGAGTAAGGAATTATCATGTGTTTTAATGACTCACATGGGTATGATTTTCATTCCCACTATATATTAATAATTGATTTATTAATCATTACAATTACATTTCTTTAAAGCTGCAGCCTATATAATCCAAAATGATCCAAATTACATTTTGAGAAAATCCATACCCAGCCAGTGTTCAAAACTCTTTGCTTGCCGTAGCTCGATTCCAAATGGTTAGCTTGTAGTAATGTTTTTAATTCCAGTGGTACTGGTGGATTTCTGCGGGAGATTCGAGCATGTCTTTGCGTCATTACGTCAAATCTGTACACATAAAGAAGGGGTGCTTTTTAATTTTTGTTATTTGTGCATCCTCGTTTCCTTTACTTACTTCCTTTCCTCACATCCCAGCTCCACCCCCTGTAGATTGCGAGGGAAGGCTGCAAGGAGAGAAGGAATCGAATTAAAGGTTTTTTATTCAAGTATCAAGTATTCCAATGTGTTTATACATTTTGATCACTCACAAAATGTTAGATCTGCCCTTATGTCCTAGAAGATTGGTTAAGAAATTAGTAATAAATAATAATAAAGCAAGATACCCTGTTGAAATATGTGTGGTGTGTGGTTTAAACTGTAAAGGTAAAGTATAAATTCAAATGATTTTGACCGATGTGAAAGGCGTTTAGTCAATAAAACACTTCCGCAAAGGATACATCTGTGCATCCTCACTCATAACTCCTCTGGAATTCTCCTTACTCCTCAATCCTCGTGGTGAAATTAGAGAATTGAGATGTCCTTCAAGATAGCTAAGCGGTTTCTGAGTCATAGGATGAAGGATTGAGGATTAAGGAGACGAGGAGGGATATTGAAAAGCAATTCTGCGAATACCTGCAATTGCAGATTTCAAACAGAGATGGCGACAAAGAGGGAAAACTGCAAACTGCAGACTGCAGCTTTAAATGAATCATTTGATACAAAGCCCTTGTTTACTTACTTACATGTTCTTACATTGTACTAATATTTCATAATTCTTTTCTCTGATTACATCTATAATTGCATTGTTGATCCTTCCCTTACATCTTAACCCAACTTTTAAACCTACCCATACCACCAAACCTGTCCCTGGCCTGACCTTACCCATATCCAACCTCTATAGCAGCAAAAGTGTTTTGTACATAACAGTTTTTTTTTTTTTTTATGTAAGCACAAAGTATTAGACACCTAATATGAAGTGAGATGTGACATACACACTTCCACCAGCACACACAAATGCTGTCATTGGTATGAATGAAGGTATGTGGAAAAGTACAGCCTCCGTTTGATTATATTTATGTCAATCTCTGTTTCTCTATGTACAGGTGTAACATGGGGGAAGATTGTGTCTCTGTATGCAGTGGCCGGAGCTCTTGCTGTGGACTGTGTTCGGCACGGGCATCCGGCAATGGTGCACACCATTGTCGACTGCATGGGCGAATTTGTTCGCAAGAGCCTTGTGTCGTGGTTAAAGAGGAGAGGAGGCTGGGTAAGAAATAAATCTATATATTGAGTAATTATAATATTTATGCATTTAATCATGCCTTCACCCAGCCCAAACATACATAATCCTTGATTCTGATTGGTCATTCAGCAGGCAATTTCCTAATATTCTCTGTTATCCATCATATGTGGCTCATTTGGGTAACTGAAACGCTGTTTTCTCGTATCATGCAGTGGACTCGCTCTCTCATTTCATACACAATGCATTCTCACCCCAAGGCGTCACCTTTGACCATGCTTCAATATTTGACGTTTTAGGCGCCCTTTAGCGTCACTTACATGACGCGATCCTACGGCGTCATCTAACTAGCGTCAGTTAGAGGACGCGGTTAGGTGTGGGGTGGGGGTAGGGTACACGCGATCCTAGGGCGTCATCTTACTGACGCTAAAGGGCGCCTAAAGCGTCAGATATTGAAGCATGTCCAAATGCTTCCCAAGGCGTCAGTTAAGTGACGCCTTGGGGGTGAGAATGGGCTGTCATACAGGTGCAACCTTGCATCTCGGTTTTTGAATGTAGTGAAAATGACCGTAAAGGACCAATTTCTAGCTTTTTTGTACGTTGTAATAAACTTTTTTTTATGTTTTTGTGGACTATTTTTTAAAGCAGAAGCAACAGCTTATTTTACATACCTAGTTATTTTATATATCATATAACTAGTACTTGTCAAAAGGATGATTTGGATGAATTTATAGATCAAATTTGACTTTTAAAACAACACTGGATTCCATTTGTAAGAGTTTTAACTGTAAACTTATTTTCCTTTTTTTTGTTTTTTATAAAATTATTATTAAAATGTTCTGTGGTTGACTACTTGACAGAATGTTTGCAGGAGCTAAAGTTGCATTTAAAGGGACAGTTCACCCAAAAATGTTAATTCTGTCACCATTTACTCACATCATCTTTCTTCTATGGAACATAAACATAAAGATATTTTGAGAAATGTGTCAAATGTGTACGTGTGTTTCTCCGTACTATGGAAGTCAATGCGGTCGCCAAAACTGTTTGGTTGCCAACATTCTTCAAAATATCTTCTTTTGTGTTCAGCAGAAGACAAAAAGTCATACATGTTTGAAACAACATGAAGGTGAGTAAATGATGACAGAATTATAATTTTTGCCAACTCTTTTCAGAGTTGATGTAAGTAACATTGTGTTGTTTGTTTATAACCAAGCTAAGGCCCAGAAAGAGCACAGACTGCTGTCTTTCCATCTTTGTTCAGTGTATGTAGACAGAATGTGCTGTGTTCATGGAGGGGGAAATCTGAACAATCTCTCTGAAGACCAGCACAGTTGAGCGAACCTGTTGAATGAGGAGCTGTGCTGGTATGTGTGGCTGCTTTGGCAGGGCATTTCTGTGGTGTCTGTTCTCATTAGACTGTCTCTGTTCAGGCCGATTCGACGTGGCACTGTGTCATTGCTGCCTGCACTTACAGTAGGTCCATATGCAGCTCTGACACCTGCTGTTGACTTTTAGATAAAAACATTAGATATTAGATAAATATATTAACCTACTTAAAGCCAGCAAAAAATAACTATCTATATTTATTTATTTGGCAAAATGCCACATATGTATAGTGGCCTTTCATGTATATAGAGGCATGGACTCTACTAGACCCCTGAAGAAGGTGTTCTGTGGTATGTGGCATCAATACGTTAGCAGCAGATCCTTCAAGTCCTGTAGGTTTGTTGGTTTGTTTGTTAGATGCTCATTTGGATTGAGATTTGGGAATTTGGAGGCAAACATCTACTTTTTATATTCTATAATTTATTTTCTGTCATGTACTGTTCTGATTAATAGCCAGCTGATAGCTAGTATCCATAGTCATAGTTGATATTATTGGGCATTTTAAGAAATTGTAATATATTCAGGTATGTGTATGCATGTTTTTTAGTATTATTATTATTTTTATTTATATTGTGTGTGATATATGTGGATATCTGTTGTCTAAGCTACTGGAACTGGATGCCTTAAATTTCCCTCGGGATAAATAAAGTATCAATCAATCAATCAATCAATGGTAACATCTTGAACTTTTCATTGTTCCTCAAACCATTCCTGAACAATGTGTGCAGTTATCCTGCATTATCCTGCTAAAAGAGACCACATCCACCAGGCAATACTATTGTCATGAAGGGGTGTATCTGATCTGCATCAATGTTTAGGTATGTGGCACGTGCCACATTTACGTCCATATGGATGGTTGGACCCAGGGTTTTCCAGAAGAACATTACCCAGAGCATCTCTATATCAACTATATTCGCTTCACTTGTGACTGCTCATAATGTTTTGGCTCATCAGTGTACCTATATTATTAATGGGAGTAATAATATGTAGAAAAATATTTTAATGTTGTGTTAAGAAATGTTTTTTTTAGGGATATCATTTTATAAGAACATAGTTCTAGGATAAGTTTAATGTTTGTTTGATATGTTTTATGACTTATTTAGAAAGAGAGAACAAAAAAGAAAACATTCAGGACTAAGGATCAACTTTAATTATTTTATGCTCTGTGGTGGATGTACTGTACAACATGAAAAAATGCTGGTTCAATTGGGTGAGTGTAATGGTTGCTTCAGGCGAAATCATTCTCAACGTTTTTCAATGTGTTCTTCTTGGGAGTGTCCTGATTTTTTTTAACTGCTGTTTTTGTAAGACATGGGCACACCTACAGACTGAACTGAACCTGAAAACAAGGACTTTATCATCAGGAGCACAAAGTGAAAGTGTTTGTAAAGCAGAAGCCGGTTAGACTGTGTTTACACTGTTGTTGATGTGAGTATGTGGGCACTAGTGTCTACGTGCCATGTTGAGGGTTTTGCTCTGCAGGATTGCCCTGGGAGCTTAATGAAGGGCCATACACACACACACACACACACACACACACAACACACACACACACACAGGACAGCTTTTATAATTAAAATTCCTAATTAACGAAGTTTGAGGTCAGCACGATTTATTTCGTATGAATGCAAGAATGCTTTACATTGATTACAGTCCTCTTAAAGTAATTTAAAAATGTTAAATATAATATTAAAAATTATATTTCAAACTTTAAGTTCATCAAATAATCCTCAAATAAGTCACAGCGTTCACAAAGACATTAAAGCTACACATCAATTTTCAACATTGAATAGAATAAGACAAATCGCAAATCAGCATATTAAAATGATTTCTGAAGGGAAAAAAAATCATGTGACATGAATCTGACACTGATCAAGACTGAAGTAATGGTGATGAAAATTCAGCTTTGCCACCATACAGGAATATTTTTTTTTTAAAAAAGCTTTCATTTCTGTGTGCAGACTGCATTGTGACATTATGACTTTTTATTTGGGAAAAAAGAAAAAAACTTTGTCCCTGTTATATGACCCCCCCCCCCCCCCCCCCATTAATTTTCATTGGAATTCCTAGGTGTTAGTGTGTATGTGTGTAGATGTGTGTATGGGCATGTGAGTGTGTTCTGCATTGGGGAAGATCTATAGGCTTATGCCTTCTAGATTTTGCCAGATTTTTGAAAAAAGTTGCCATTTTCCCTCATTTCCTGTTTCATTATTTTTTTAAAACCACATAAACTCTTCGAATCCAGGCACATTTTTTTTATTTTTTCGTGTGTGCATTCCAAGTTCAAGTGTGTGACAAAAGTCTTAAGGTCTTGGACCACTCCGATGAACACTCAATTTTTTGGAAAAAAGAAAAAGAAAATAAATGTTTGGTCAAAATGACCCGAAGAGAGCATAAGGGAACTGACCATCCAGATTAAAACAAACTGAACTTTAATATCCTGAACATGTATTAAGCTAATTTGGGAATTTATAACATTTGGTGTGAAATATAGCGTGTTTAGACTACTGAATGTTGGCTTTCCTAAAAGGCGCATACTTGAGTGCAAACTGAAGTTCCTTTTCCTTTAGTTATTACCAAATGAACTCAGAGAGAATTACCTAACATACTCATATTCAGTGTATATATATAGAGAGAGTTATGTTTTATATTTTATATATTTAATTTATATATCTCAATATTTTCTTTGCTCTCTTTCAGGCGGACATCACTAAGTGTGTAGTCAATACAGACCCCAGCTTTCGTTCTCATTGGTTGGTGGCAGCTGCCTGCGCCTGTGGTCACTATCTCAAGGCCGTGGTCTTCTACCTGCTGAGAGAAAAATGAAGAGCAGGATAAACAAGTGACAGACAGCTGAACTCTTCAGCAGGGGCTTCTGGTCACTGCTTAGGCCTTTCACTTCTCTTAATGTGTTTACACTTGCACAAAGTTTGCACTTTGGTAACCCTTTACAATAAGGTCTCATTTGTTGACATTAGTTAAATAACTAGTTCAAATGAACTAACTATGAACAATATATTTTTACAGCATTTAAGCTTTGTTAATGTTAGTTTATAAAAATCGAATTATTCATGTTAATTCATAGTGCATAAACTAATTGTATTAGTAAATGTAGGAATTAACATTAAGATGAATTAATGCTGTAGAAGTAGGCCTATTGTTCATGTTAACCTTATTGTAAAGTGTCACCCAGTTTAGTTTAAAAGGATATTGAGCTCCAAGATGAACCGTTATATTTAAGGTTTTGTTATGTTTAACCTGGCCTTTTGCACTCTAGGCATTCCTTGCTGTTACCATTGTTGTATTGAACCTAATGTTGATATGCAGAATATCCAGGCCAGCGAGAGAGGAAACTATCGAGACCTTTGAATTTATGTGTGAAAGAGAATGTTCATGTACTTCGATTAATGCTGCCTACCCCAACATTGTCTTATCGGAAAGATTGTTAATACATGTTTCAGTGTCTTGAGTGGTTTTGATGCTCTAAATGCAGATTATTAACAATCAAGCTTCAAAAATCCAACTGCAATCCACAATGCAGGAAAAAAATAAATAAATACCAGGAGTTAGAATGTGTTATTGAGATCAGTATCAATATTTACCAAGGAAAAACTTTCAAAGTACTGAATGTAAATGGCTGTAGGAGAGATTTGGGTTGACTAAAAAGATATAACATTTCAGTTCATGCCATATTTCAAGTCTGGGCCTGTCACCTAGTACGTCATAGTGTTGTCTCTGTTTTGTTGTAATTTATTTTTGTGTAATATTTTCACCTTACATGTGGTGTTGTTGGTGCGGCCTTGAACAATTTGTGAGATATCATGGAGCCATCACTATATTAATAACTTAACTTGGTGTCTTAAAAATTGTTCATTGTTTTGTTCTCTTATATAGTTCAGTTTATATCAAATTATTATGTGAAAACTACACATTGTTTGTGAATGCTACACTGAATGTATGTAAAAATAAAAAATATATCCTTTTTTTGTTTTTCCAAAAATCTGTTTGCTGTGCTTTTCTTGCGGTAGGAACAGAACAACAAAATAATAAAGCTTTTATGCTGATAATACTACACAACATTAGTGTAATTGGTGGAAAACGAGTGGGAGGAAGCAGTTTAGATCAGATAGAATAGTTTGGAGATATTGTTACTATGGTGATCACTCTCAACATGTGGTTTCCTTTACCCAGACTTTGAGAGCACTGACATTAATTAAATAATGGGTCTTTACTGCGTTCACACAAAGCATATTAATGGAAGTGATTGTATTTTACAACTTCTATCATAGATAATGGGAGAAATTGAAGACTATGATAGTCTGTGTTCATTAAGATAAATGTTAAAGCAAATTATTCCGAATATGTTTCAGATTATTTTGTCAGTAATCGCCTTTTTTTTTTTTACTTCAACTTTCTACCTAATAATTTCCAATTGCGACGCCTCACTGACACCTAGTGGCTGTACATGGAACTGCAGACGCTCAATGATTAAAGTTATCGCAGAACAAAGGTATACTATAAACAGATACGATATAGCTGATATTGTTCTTGATTTTTAAAAAGAAACTATCAAGAAACTATCAAGTGACAGACTTTGATCTACAAAACTGAATACGCGTGATGAAGTCAGCCTCTTCCTATCACATACTTGTGCAGATTATTTGTAATATTGACTAAATGACGACACTAATGTTTCATCTCACGTCTGGGACGATGAAAAAAAAAAACTATTATAAGCAGTTTCGTTAAAGACTATAGGACGGCCAAGGGCTCATGATAATATGTATTTAGTTAGTTAACTATTTATCTAGTTAGTTTTTGCCCAACAACATCATGACATGTCATAAATAGCACATTTCACAGAATACACTTTCACGGCTGTTTCCCGGCAATTTGATGATAAATATCAAATTCAAAACACAAAACATTTTAAGAGTAATGCCAAAACTGATTATGTACGTGTATGTAGCGTTACATTCCACAACTCTAGTTAGCTTGTTTATATCTATCTGCTTCCAAGCAGCTTCCAAGAGAAGACAACACGTCCCGCCTTAAAATAAATTCTATTGGTTAAAAACACCAACAAATACATAGGAGGTATTTGATTGGCTACTGGAGAAATTACGCGTTCTGACCAAAACGGAAGTGACTTCGTATTGGTCAGTACAGTGTAAGGAACACTCAACAAACAAGATAGGCTGAATCACTGTCGGGATGGATGCAGGTAAGAAAATCGCTGGAAAACAATTTGTTTTATATTTCACTCTCATCTGCTCAGATGTCATGAAATTGCTAAAAAGCAAAATTGTTCTTTCGACAACCACCTACGCTCCTGTTATTGGAGAGGCCGCCTCTACAGTTTGGGATTTTGTCGTTAAATATGGTACATAGATGTCCCAACTGCTGCCAACTGGACAGTAAAACTGAGCAGTCTGCCGTCAGATAAGGGATGTTGTCTTCTAGATGTCACTGCACCAATGCCACGACCACTCGTAAAAACCGTTTGCCTCGCTAGGCTGTGTTTTAGAGTCTATTCAGCGGCATGTTTTGAGCAATAACGTTATATAGGAGCGTTCCAGTGCACGAATGATACTGTTGGGCTGTGGTGGACGCTTTTGGGAGGTTGTCCGTGTTGTCTGTTATCAAATTTCTGCCTACTCTAATAATCTGTTTGCCAGTAACATTTATCACAGGGACTTTTATGCACTGTGCCATGTCTTTAACCCTTTGATTCATGACATCCGTTACAATTAAAGGGATAGTTCATCGAAAAGTGAACATTTTGTCTTTACTTGCCCTCAGGTTGTTCAAAGGTTCCAGGTTGAGTTTCTTTTCTTCTGTTGAAAACAACATAAGAACTTTTAAAGAATGTTACCAACCTTCTTTTTTGTTTAAAGAAAAAAAAAAAACTCATACAGGTATGGAATAACTAAGGGTGCCACGTTACAATAACGTTCGGTTTGTTAACATTGTTAGACTATGTTTCAATCAACAATAAATTATAAAGTATTAACCTTCAATCATCTCATAATAAAGTTAATTGTTAATTCATTTTGTTATTATAAAAAATGGTTAATTTACAAATCTTGAAACTGTTAAATATGAATATGTAAAATAATAACTAACAAATGATCTTTGATTATTAAATGCTTTATTTGTTGCATGTTTTTTTTTCATGAAACAATATATTTTATTACATTTGACACAGACAGATGTGAAACTCCCTCAAAGAAAACACATCATATATGAAAACACAAAACGATTAGCTGTGATTATATGTAAATGTTAAGATTTTTTTCCTTTGTGATTATTATTATTTGTTTTACATCGGATGGTTAGGCCAACTAAAAAGGTGCCAAGTGATGTTTTTGTATAATATCTTTTTATATTTCTGTTGGTCTTTGTAAGTGGTTTAGCTTCCAGTTGATCATGGGCTTTTCCCCCAACAGCTACTCTCACATACGACTCATTGCGCTTTGGAGAGATCGAAGATTTCCCGGAGACCTCTGAGCCTGTCTGGATTTTGGGAAAGCAGTTCAGTGCTCTAACAGGTAATAAAGTGGTAGACGTTGAAGGGGTTTTGTGCTGCTGTGTTTGGTTCTTGTTGGTGGTAACACAATGCTCTTTGTGTCCCAGAGAAGGATGATATTCTGGCAGACGTCACCTCACGTTTGTGGTTCACGTACAGAAAGAACTTTCAGCCAATTGGTGAGAGTCAGTCATCAATCCTGTTCTTAGCGTCCAAGGACTGCATTTGATTATTCATACGGATAGATAAATCTGTTTAGTTTGGTTTGTTAATGGAATTAATGTTACAGGTGGCACTGGGCCCACTTCAGACACTGGTTGGGGCTGCATGCTTCGATGTGGACAGATGATTCTTGGGGAGGCCTTGGTCTGCAGGCACTTGGGTAGAGGTATGGCTGCCAGATTTGAAAACTGGGATTGGTGATTATGAGGTGAAATCTGAGATGTAATGTGTGTTGTGTATTTTATTAGACTGGAGATGGATTCCAGGTCAGCGGCAGAGAGCGGAATATATCAGTATCCTCAATGCCTTCATTGACAAGAAGGACAGCTATTATTCCATCCATCAGATAGGTACTACTCCTTATCTACCTGCTGCTTCGGTCTTATAAAGCCTTAAAAGCATTGAATTTATTAATTTGTAAATAATACCATAAAAAACTTCATTTGTCAACCATGATTATTATGATTTTCAATGTTTATTGTTCAGGGGTCTCTCAGTTCCCCATATTCCCAGCATGGAATACGTTGCTAGCTAATGTTAAAAAACAACTTAACATTGTTCGGCAAACTTTCTTGTGGCCTACTGAAATGTTTTTATTATTCACACGTGCTTGGCTTTTCATCTTTTACCCATTCCACATTTGAAAAATAAATGAACACAAGTTCAAGGATTTCGTTTTTTCTTTGCTGGTAGGGACGTGGAATTGGTATTAATTTTTTTTTATGTAAATGGTCTTAAAAAGACTTATACGACGTTCATATTTTTTCTTTATTTCATGAGGCAATGCCCCTCTTGTTTTACACTTCATTTATGTGTATTGAATAAGGATAACAAGAGTGAAGAATGTATTTTTTTCCTGTCAACTTTTTTTTACTTAAGACACTGTACCATTGTGATTTGGATGGAGGCTCTGTAGGTTTGTGCTAAACAAGCCTAAATTGACAGTGAGTGAGAGATCGACTGAGCATGTTTTGAACTATTAGTTGAATGAACTCATTGATGTTTAATGACTCACTCTTCCCGACACCCAGTGGCGTAACACTGTAACTGCACTGACTGACAGCCTGTCTTGAAGGTGTCACACAGAGACAAGCTGTGGCGATACTGGTGAAATATCAGCAGAGAAAATCTCTCGTCCAGTCAGATTCGAAAATCGGAACTAACTGTTATACCCCAACAAGCTTAACTTATTGTCAGGTTTATGTTCTGTTATTTGGACTCTTATTTGGAATTTCTGTTCCTTTAGTTCCTGTCTCCCTGCTCTGTTTAGTTTCAGTTCCATTGGTTTCTGATTATGTCCTTCGTCTCTATAGTTACTTATTAGTTTCACATGTCTAGTTTACTTTTTTTTTCTACCCCTGTTTTCTAGCTCTGTGTTTTTTAGTCATTTTGTGTTTATGCTGTTATTCATTATTCTCCTGCATCTTCATTCAGAGTATTTGGATTATTAATAAAGCATGATCTATCCTGTTCTTAACACATTGTAACACTTATCACAATATTGAGCCATTCAAAATTACCACAAGGAAAACTGACCACGACAGCCCTCTTGACGGGTAAATTACTGTGGATGACATGGCTTGTTCTTTTTCCAGCTCAGATGGGTGTAGGTGAGGGAAAGTCTATAGGCCAATGGTATGGCCCAAATACAGTGGCACAGGTACTCAAGTAAGTTGGCCAAGTCAATTCTATTTTTTTTTATTATTATTATTATTCAAATATATATATATATATATATATATATATATATATATTAGGGCTGTGCAAAAATTAATTGCGATTAATCGCATCTAAAATAAAAGTCTGTGTTTACATAATATATGTGTGTGTGCTGTATATAATTATTTTGTTTATATATAAATACCTATGCATGCATGTATAGATTTAAGAATTATTTGCACTTAAATTCTGCATATATATATAAATACATAATCTATATTATATAAATATAAATATTTTATACTATATGAATAACACATTTTCTTAAATATATACATGCATGTGTGTGTATTTATATATACAAAATAATTATATACAGCACACACAAACATATTATGTAAACACAGACTTTTATTTTGGATGCGATTAATCGCAATTCATTTTTGCACAACCCTAATATATATATATATATATAAAAATTAGTCATATATGAAATATAACTGTAAAAGACTATTGAAGCTAAGTCATCTTTAAATAAATTATTATGCTTTGCTGTATTGGAATTAACCCATCTACACCTTTATCCCCAT